TCTATGGGGTGTTTACTGTGACGTGTGGGGTGTTTGTTGTGATCTATAGGGTGTTTATTGGATCTATGGGGTGCTTACTGTGATCTATGGAGTGTTTACTGTGATCTATAGGGTGTTTATTGGATCTATGCGGTGCTTACCGTGATCTATAAAGTGTTCACTGTGATCTATGGGGTGTTTACTGTGATCTATAGAGCGTTTACTGTGATCTATGGGGTGTTTACTGTGATCTATGGGGTGTTTACCGTGATCCATGGGGTGTTTGCTGTGATCTATAGGGTCTTTATTGTGATCCATGGAGTGTTTACCGTGATCTGTGGGGTGTTTGCTGTGATCTATGGGGTGTTTGCTGTGATCTACGGGGTGTTTGCTGTGATCTATAGGGTGTTTACAGTGATCCATGGGGTGCTTGCAGTGATCTATAAGTTGTTTGTTGTGGTCTACGGGGTGTTTATTGTGATCTATGGGGTGTTTTCCGTGATCCATGGGTGTTTGCTGTGATCTATAGGGTGTTTGTTGTGATCCATGGAGTGTTTACCGTGATCCGTGGGGTGTTTGCTATGATCTATAGGGTGTTTACTGTGATCTATGGGGTGTTTATCGTGATCTATGGGGTGTTTGCTGTGATCTATAGGGTGTTTACTGTGATCTATGGGGTGTTTGTTGTGATCTGTGGGGTGTTTACTGTGATCTATAGGGTGTTTATTGGATCTATGGGGTGTTTACTGTGACGTGTGGGGTGTTTGTTGTGATCTATAGGGTGTTTATTGGATCTATGGGGTGCTTACTGTGATCTATAGAGTGTTTACTGTGATCTATAGGGTGTTTATTGGATCTATGGGGTGCTTACCGTGATCTATAAAGTGTTTACTGTGATCTATGGGGTGTTTACTGTGATCTATAGAGCGTTTACTGTGATCTATGGGGTGTTTACCGTGATCCATGGTGTGTTTGCTGTGATCTATAGGGTGTTTACTGTGATCTATGGGGTGTTTATTGTGATCTGTGGGGTGTTTACTGTGATCTATAGGGTGTTTGTTGGATCTATGGGGTGTTTGCTGTGATCTATAGGGTCTTTATTGTGATCTATGGAGTGTTTACCGTGATCCGTGGGGTGTTTGTTGTGATCTGTGGGGTGTTTACTGTGATCTATAGGGTGTTTATTGGATCTATGGGGTATTTACTGTGACATGTGGGGTGTTTGTTGTGATCTATATGATGTTTATTGGATCTATGGGGTGCTTACTGCAATCTATAGGGTGCTTACTGTGATCTATGGGCTGTTTACTGTGATATATGGGGTGTTTACTGTGATCTATGGGGTGTTTATTGTGATCTATAGGGTGGTTACTGTGATCTATGGAGTGATTACTGTGATCTATGGGGTGTTTACTGTGATCTACGGGGTGTTTGCAGTGATCTATGGGGTGTTTACTGTGATCTATAGGGTGTTTGTTGTGATCTATAGGGTGTTTGTTGTGATCTATAGGGTGTTTGCTGTGATCTGCGGGGTGTTTACTGTGATCTATGGGGTGTTTAGTGTGATCCGTGGGGTGTTTAGTGTGATCCATGGGGTGTTTACTGTGATCTATGGGGTGTTTGCTGTGATCTATAGGGTGTTTATTGTGATCTATGGGGTGTTTACTTTGATTTGTAGGCTGTTTACTGTGATCTGTGGGGTGTTTACTGTGGTCTATGGGTTGTTTATTGTGATCTATGGGGTGTTTACTGTGATCTGTGGGGTGTTTACTGTGATCTATAGGGTGTTTACTGTGATCTATGGGGTATTTACTGTGATCTATAGGGTGTTTACTGTGATCTCTGGGGTGTTTACTGTGATCCATGGGTTGTTTACTGTGATCTATGGGATGTTTACTGTGATCTATGGGGTGTTTACTGTGATCTATGGGGTGTTTACTGTGATTTATAGGGTGTTTACTGTGATCTATGTGGTGTTTACTGTGATTGATAGGGTGTTTACTGTGATCAATAGGTGTTTGCTGTGATCTATAGTGTGTTTATTGTGATCTATGTGGTGTTTACTGTGATCGGTGGGGTGTTTATTGTGATATGGGGTGTTTGTTGTGATGTGGGGTGTTTACTGTGATCCATGGGGTGTTTGCAGTGATCTATAAGTTGTTTGTTGTGATCTACGGGGTGTTTGTTGTGATCTATAGGGTGTTTATTGTGATCTATGGGGTGTTTACTGTGATCTATGGGGTGTTTACCGTGATCCATGGGTGTTTGCTGTGATCTATAGGGTGTTTGTTGTGATCTATGGAGTGTTTACCGTGATCCGTGGAGTGTTTGCTATGATCTATAGGGTGTTTACTGTGATCTATGGGGTGTTTATTGTGATCTATGGGGTGTTTGCTGTGATCTATGGGATGTTTACTGTGATCTATAGGGTGTTTACTGTGATCTATGGGTGTTTATTGTGATCTGTGGGGTGTTTGCTGTGATCTATAGGGTGTTTGTTGGATCTATGGGGTGTTTGCTGTGACGTGTGGGGTGTTTGTTGTGATCTATAGGGTGTTTATTGAATCTATGGGGTGCTTACTGTGATCTATAGAGCGTTTACTGTGATCTATGGGGTGTTTACTGTGATCTACGGGGTGTTTACCGTGATCCATGGGTGTTTGCTGTGATCTATAGGGTCTTTATTGTGATCCATGGAGTGTTTACCGTGATCTGTGGGGTGTTTGCTGTGATCTATGGGGTGTTTGCTGTGATCTACGGGATGTTTACTGTGATCTATAGGGTGTTTGTTGTGATCTATGGGGTGTTTGCTGTGATCCATGGGGTGTTTACTGTGATCCATGGGGTGTTTATTGTGATCTGTGGGGTGTTTACTGTGATCTATAGGGTGTTTATTGGATCTATGGGGTGTTTACTGTGACATATGGGGTGTTTGTTGTGATCTATATGATGTTCATTGGATCTATGGGGTGCTTACTGCGATCTATAGGGTGCTTACTGTGATCTATGGGCTGTTTACTGTGATCTATGGGGTGCTTACTGTGATCTATGGGGTGTTTACTGTGATCTATAGGGTGGTTACTGTGATCTATGAAGTGTTTACTGTGATCTATGGGGTGTTTGCAGTGATCTATGGGGTGTTTGCTGTGATATATAGGGTGTTTACTGTGATCCATGGGGCGTTTACTGTAATCTATGGGGTGTTTACTGTGATCTATAGGGTGTTTGTTGTGGTCTATAGGGTGTTTGGTGTGATCTGCGGGGTGTTTACTGTGATCTATAGGGTGTTTTGTGTGATCCATGGGGTGTTTACTGTGATCTATGGGGTGTTTACTGTGATCTATGGGGTGTTTATTGTGATCTATGGGGTGTTTACTGTGATCTACGGGGTGTTTACTGTGATCTATGGGGTGTTTACTGTGATCTATGGGGTGTTTACTGTGATTTATAGGCTGTTTACTGTGATCTGTGGGGTGTTTACTGTGGTCTATGGGTTGTTTATTGTGATCTATGGGGTGTTTACTGTGACCTATGGGGTGTTTACTGTGATCTATAGGGTGTTTACTGTGATCTGTGGGGTGTTTACTGTGATCTATAGGGTGTTCACTGTGATCTATGGGGTGTTTACTGTGATATATAGGGTGTTTGCTGTGATCTCTGGGGTGTTTACTGTGATCTATAGGTTGTTTACTGTGATCTATGGGGTGTTTACTGTGATCTATAGGGTGTTTATTGTGATCTATGGGGTATTTGCTGTGATCTATAGGGTGTTTATTGTGATCTATGTGGTATTTACTGTGATCTGTGGGGTGTTTACTGTGATCTATAGGTTGTTCACTGTGATCTATGGGGTGTTTACTGTGATATATAGGGTGTTTGCTGTGATCTCTGGGGTGTTTATTGTGATCTATAGGTTGTTTACTGTGATCTATGGGATGTTTACTGTGATCTATGGGGTGTTTACTGTGATCTATAGGGTGTTTACTGTGATCTATGGGGTGTTTGCTGTGATCTATAGGGTATTTACTGTGATCTATGTGGTGTTTACTGTGATCTATGTGGTGTTTACTGTGTTCTATGTGGTGTTTACTGTGATCTATGGGGTGTTTACTGTGATCTATAGGGTGTTTACTGTGATCTATATGATGTTTACTGTGATCTATAGGGTGTTTACTGTGATCTATGTGGTGTTTACTGTGTTTGATAGGGTGTTTACTGTGATCAATAGGTGTTTGCTGTGATCTATAGGGTGTTTATTGTGATCTATGTGGTGTTTACTGTGATCGGTGGGGTGTTTATTGTGATATGGGGTGTTTGTTGTGATGTGGGGTGTTCACTGTGATCTATGGGGTGTTTACTGTGATCTATGGGGTGTTTACTGTGATCTGTGGGGTGTTTACTGTGATCTATGTGGTGTTTACTGTGATCTATGTGGTGTTTACTGTGATCTATTGGGTGTTTACTGTGATCTATGGGGTGTTTACTGTGATCTATGTGGTGTTTACTGTTATCTATAGGATGTTTACTGTGATCTATGTGGTGTTTACTGTGATCTATGGGGTGTTTACTGTGATCTATGGGGTGTTCACTGTGATCTATGGGGTGTTTACTGTTATCTATAGGGTGTTTACTGTGATCTATGGGGTGTTTATTGTGATCTATGGGGTGTTTACTGTGATCTATGTGGTGTTTACTGTGATCTATGGGGTGTTTATTGTGATCTATGGGGTGTTTACTGTGATCTATGTGGTGTTTACTGTGATCTATGGGGTGTTTACTGTGATCTATGTGGTGTTTACTGTGATCTATAGGATGTTTACTGTGATCTATGTGGTGTTTACTGTGATCTATGTGGTGTTTACTGTTATCTATAGGATGTTTACTGTGATCTATGGGGTGTTTACTGTTATCTATAGGGTGTTTACTGTGATCTATAGGGTACAGTCAGATGTATAAGTTTTGCCGTCTCAAAGGGACACTGAGGCTGAGGCTGGAGTTCTCCGGAAGTGACGTGTGAGCGGTGCCGGAAGCAGTGTGAGCGCGAGGCCTGTCACCAGGACAATGAGCGGCGGGAGCCGGAGCCCGGGCCCAGGGTCGGGGCCGCACGGGGACAGCAACGCAGAGTTTCACGAGCAGCTGCGGCTGCAGCAACAATATGGTAATGGCGGCGGGGCCGAGGGCTGGGAGGGCGGCGCGGGCACGTTCATGGACACGGACGGCAGCGAGTACGAGTGGGACTGTGAGAGGGGCGCCTGGTTCCCCAGGATAACCGAGGATTTCCTGGCCGCCTATCAAGCCAACTATGGCTTCAATGAGGAGGGAGTCGCCGAGCCCGGCACCGCCAGCGAGAAGCCAGAGCCAGGGGGCAAGGAGGTCAACAAGAAGCCAGAGTCTGGGGGAAAGGAGGTCAGCAAGAAGCCAGACCCCGGGGGCCAAAAGGCCAGCGCCGAGCAGCCTGGGGCACAGCAGAAAGGGGAGAAGAGAAAGGTCGATCAAGGCTGGATCGATGTGGAGGCGCAGAGGAACACCAGCGTGTACGTGTCGGGTTTGCCCCCAGACATGAGCCTGGAGGAGTTTATAGAGCTCATGTCAAAGTTTGGGATCATCATGCGCGACCCCGAGACCGAGGAGTGCAAGATCAAGCTGTACAAGGACAAGGACGGCAACCTCAAGGGGGACGGGCTCTGCTGCTACCTGAAGAAGGAGTCGGTCAGCCTGGCTCTGAAACTGATGGATGAAACCGACGTGAGAGGGCACAGGGTGCGGGTGGAGCCGGCCAAGTTTGAGATGAAGGGGCAGTACGATGCGAGCAAGAAAAAGAAGAAAAGCAAAGACTACAGGAAGAAGCTGCTCTGGCAGAAGAAGCAGTTGGATTGGAAGCCCGAGAAGAAACTCGGCGAAATACGATTGCGCCACCAACGAGTTGTGGTCATTAAGAATATGTTTCATCCGAAAGAGATTGAGGAGGATGCGTTGGTGTTGAATGAGATTCGAGAAGACCTTCGGGTTGAATGTGAAAAGTTTGGTCAAGTGAAAAAAGTGCTTATATTTGACAGACATCCAGATGGGGTGGCTTCCGTGGCATTTAAAGAGGTGGAAGAGGCAGATCAATGCATACAGATGCTCAATGGAAGATGGTTTGCTGGGCGGCAAATAATTGCTGAAGCGTGGGACGGACAGGTAGATTATCAGATTGAGGAAACTGTAAGGGAAAGAGAAGAACGACTGAAATCATGGTCGACCTATTTGGACCAAGACACATCTGCAGTTCAATCTTCAGATGTGCAAAAATTGCAACATGCAAGCAGTGGCGTATCTGAGGAGGTTCCAGCAGCTTTGGAGGGCAAAAGCAGCGCCCAGACTTCAGAGAGTAAAGGCAGCACCATGTCTTCAGAGAACACAGGCACCATCCTGCCTACAGAGGGCAAAGGCACCATCCTGCCTACAGAGGGCAAAGGCACCATCCTGCCTACGGAGGGCGAAGGCACCATCCTGCCTACAGAGGGCAAAGGCACCATCATGGCTTCAGAGGGCAAAGGCACCATCATGGCTTCAGAGAACAAAGGCACCATCCTGCCTACAGGGGACAAAGGCACCATCATGGCTTCAGAGGGCAAAGGCAGGTCATTACCTTCAGAGAATAAAGGTACCTATGTGCCTTATGAGAACAAAGGCAGTGTCCTGCTTACAGAGGGCAAAGGTACCACCATGGCTTCAGAGAGCAAAGGCAACTCTTTACCTTCAGAGAGTAAAGGCAGCATCCTGCCTTCAGAGGGCAAAGACCATGTGGAGGACAGCAGACCACGAGGTAAACCTGACGAAGCTGCTGAAGTGCAAGAGACTGAAGAGGAAGAAAAGTGGAATGAAGACAATCTATCTACAGACAGCAGTATGGGAGGAAGTGATGAAGAGCCTTGAATAGTTAGCAGGACGTTTCTTTTAAATGACATTTAAAACTTGCTTTACATGAAGTGTGAGTGACATTGAGTTTTGTAAATGTAAAAAATCTGCCCAATTGGTAGATGTAGTGTATTGCAGCATTTTTTTTTATTGTGAGTTAATGATTGCTTACACATTTTGAAACTAAGGTTTGGTGTAAAGGACCCTACCAAGGTTTAATAACCTTAACAGTGGCAGTGTTTTTCAAAGTTGGTTAAACAAAATACCCATCAATTTGCTGGTAATGGAGGATATTTACTTGCAACTTAAGTTTTATTCTAATCTTCATCCCCACTGCCCTGAAGAAGACTGGCTATTGTGCAGGCACCAGCCTCTCTCCAGTAGCTCACCCAAATTGATCCACGTGCACAGTAATGGTGGGTAAGCAGTACTACAGTGGCGTGAGCATGAATTTTTCTTCACTTGCTGCCCACACACACACACACACATAATTTAACCAACGGGCGTCATTGGATAGTGATCATGGTTTTCCCCTCCACCTTATCCATCCTAAGATAGGAGACAACTGGAGCCAATTTTACTATCCCTAGCAAGCCGCTAGCTTAGATCTGCTAATATGGAACAGTCCAGATAAAGATCGTGGAACCTTTCCTGTTCTGTGTTGCTCAGTCCCACGGTTACTCACTGAGCCTTTTGGGCAGCAGTTTTAAAGCCATTTTTAACTTGGGGCACAAGAGAAGTGGGAGTTTAAAATTCCTGCTGCAATTGATTTTAGATGAGAGCACACTTTGTAGTATTACACATGTAGTGCTTTGTGGGACATGTGTTTCATTTGGAGGGGAGGTAAAACACTCATTACATATTTCTGCTTTCTACAGTACAGTGCACTACTGGTTAAAGTTTCATTTATCACCCATCGTGTGCATGAGTCTTGCACATGTGTGTAAAATGGGTAAGTTGCATGATCTGATAAAGTAGTGTTCTAACACCAACACTACAGGCTTCCCAGTTAATTTATGGAACTGGTCAGTTTTTGGGTAGAAGAACAGCTATTCATGTATGCAGCATCTCAGATAGGCACAACAGTTGCACAACGAGATTCTGCTCATCTTCTGTACATGTGGCCTTCAGCTTCTGTTTGTGTCCTGCCAGCTTCTGTGCTGCATACTGTATATCTTTGTTTTTTGCTGCTGGTTGGATTATGATGGCCTATACATAGAATTTTTTAACAAATAAAATAATACAAAAATATGCAAGTGTGATGTTCAGATGCAACTAAACAGACCATAATCTCTGCATGTTTACAGCCACAAGTGCATAACACGTGCATGATAAACAGGAATTATTTTCTATTAGTTAACAAGTTTCACAAAGACTATGGGTGACTGGGTCACTCAAATCTTTTGCTTCTGAGAGGAATTTCTGAGATCAGTTTCTGGAACAGTAACAGAGTCAGTGCTGTGATGATGCTGTGTTTTCTGTTTGTATAAAAACATAGGAGAGGACGGGGCAGGATTAAGTTAGGCACTGGCCTGCTCCATGGCCTCCTCTGTTCCAGCTCCACTATTGGCAGTCAGGCCTTCAGCCTTTCTGCCACACCCTCTGGGACTCCTGGATCTGCTCCATCTCCTTCAAGGTCCATTTTAATACCTTCCCTTTCCACTGTGCCTTCAGTCATCTACCATCTTAATAATAATAATCCTTGCATTTGATATGTGGAGTCCTGTAGCTCAGTGGTTAGAGCACTCGCTTTGCAAGCGAGAGACCTGAGTTCAATCCCAGGCAGGGCGAAACCTTGGGCAAGTTTCCTTACTCCACACGCCTAATAATAATCCCTCCAAAAAAACAATAATAAAAATTGGTCATTTTCAATCTACGACTGTTTGTGGGACATTGCTGTGCGCAATTGGCTGCTGCGTTTGCCCACAAATATACAGTCAATTCACTTTACAGTGTGTTCTGTGAAGCGCTCTGACCACTGAGCTACAGGACTTCACCCTCCTTGGCCTCCATCCCTCTCTGATCCTAACCCACAGCTTGGGTGCAGACCCCTTATCATCCAGCGTGTTGGGATGTCCTCCCTATGTGAAAAGCACTTTGAATACAATTTGTTTTTATTATTGTGGATGCACAGTTATGCCATGTACAGGTGACACTCAAGGCTCATCCTGAAGACAGCGAACGACCAGACGATAACTGGAACTGTGGCCGTGGAGAGGAAAAAACAATTAAAATACCTTCAGAGGGTGAAGGGTGAAAATTGGCAAGATAAAATGAACACAAATGCAGGTTAAATTCTTATGTATATTTTTTGCAAACTTGGAATTAAAAAAAATTAAGTGGGTGGTATGAAATGCCAGGTTGCATTTGCACTGTCACTTAACACAGTTGCGGTCAGAGCAGTTTGTGTTGCATGATTGTAAACAAAGCATAGGTTAGATCTGTTACCACATTAAGAAACAAACAAGTGACGTCTTGGCAATTAGGAGCTTTTTAAAACTAATGCAAAGGAATTTTAAGAATGTGTTGGGAAATTGGGTGTCACAGTGAGTTGAAATGCTGCTCAGTCACATCTGGGGCCTTGGTTCGAAACCAGCTCAGAATTATGAGATGCTGGTCTTCTCCCTCTAAGCTGCAAGGTGTAATGTGAAATTGCCCAATTCTAAGAAGGCATGAATGCAAGATTCAATATAATGCAGAACAGGTTTCTGCTGTCACTTGGGGTGGCTGGTGAGAGAAAAACAAATCTTACACACGTGCAATTGGAGGCAGCCTGAGCCACATTAATGAAAGCAGAAAGGGAACTTTGTTTTGTATCCAGCTTGTACTCCACCTATCAGGTACTTGGAATGAGACAATTTCCCAGCATTGACACCCCTCAACATGTAAAGAATAAAAAAAATTCACATGGAGGTGTTTATTAGTTGCATGCGCATAAGTAGAGAACTGCTCAGCTTATTTGCGTAGAAAGAGGATTTGAAATTTGTATTTACAGAACTTGAAGGACAACCTTTTGTCCATCATTTAAAAGGAATTTATTGTGTTTAATTCTGCATTCCTTTCTGGCCAGCTTTTCTTGTGAACAGAACAACAGGCAATATAAATAACATTGACACATCTAATGTGATTGACTCTTCCAAGTTTCAGATGAATCCATGCAGATGTAGCAGCATGGGACAGGCCAAATGGCTCCTTTCTGTACAGAGACTTTTTATATGGTAGCAGCTGAAATGAAAAGCAAGCAAAATTATGCATTTCCCTTGAAGGTGTTGCATTTGTTCATCCCTCTATTTCTCATTGCATTTTCTTTGAATTATGACTCCTTTATGTTCTGTTTAAGATACATCTCCCCCACACACACTACCTCGATTAACTCAGGCATACTAACACTTCAATGCCGTATTGGGGAGCTTCTTACTGCTAGCTAAACAGGCGTGTGGTGTAAGGAAACTTGCCCAACGTTTCACCCTACCCGGGAATCAAACCCAGGTCCTCTCGCTTGTGAGGCTTCTAACCATTATGCAACAGAACTCTACATAGGAAAAGAGATGGGAACTATATATGAAAAGAGATGGGAATTTTGTCTAGTTTTCTGGCCATCAATACTCTAAATCAATTATTCATTCACCTCGTGGCTCTTTTTGGGACTTTCTGTGTGCAAATTGGCTGCCTAGCAGTCACTGCACTTGAGAATGATTCACTTATATTTTGAGATTTTTCAACATGAGAAATGCAAGTTTTCTCCATATAATAATTTTTACATTTGATATAGGTCCTTATCACATTGTCAGTGCATCACAAGGAGCTTCAGAAAATGTAACTGTTGAGTGTTAACTGTATTTGTAGGGAACACAGCAGTCAACTTGCGTGCAGCAATGTCTCACAAACAGCCACGGTGTGAAAGATCAATTTTGTCTGGCGACTTTTGGTCAGGACACTGGGAGGAACTCCCTTTCTTTTTGAGCCGTGCCATGGGATCTTAACATTCACCTGAAAAGGCAGACAGAACTATAGTTTAATGTCACATCCCATCACTGTTTAGCATTAGACCATGAACTCCAAGTCCTATTGTTTCCACTTCCTGATGTACTAGTTTCTGTTGAAACACTTAAAAGTGTATAATTGCTAACTGTAAGATACAACTAGGCTAGAAAAAATCTAAACCTGACTTTTAATGGTGCATAAACACCAAGCACGTGACCTCACAGGAACATTGGCCCTCTTAAGTGGCCGTTGAAATACTTATTGGTGCTGGAAGTGAAATGTGCATATAAAAATATTGCACTGACTACTTGTTTTTCAAATATGCTTGCACTAAACATGCACAATGTTATACACCAAGTGAATGGTTCTGTAATCTAATTGAGTGCTTCATGTTAGTTATCAAAGGTAGAGAAGCCGATGATGTATAATTCTTGCCTTTGGTGTAGCACCCTTCATCTTGAGGGAAGGTAGGCTCAGGCAGTGTATATGTATGTGGGAGGGGAGGGGCCGGAGTTGAGGGAGCTGAAAATGAAGTTGAAAAGATTTCCTAGGAAGGTTTTGAAGATGGGTGGGAGAGTGGGAGAGACTCTGGGATGGAGGTTCTGGGATGGGGTACATGAAGCAGGCTGGTGTTTGCCGAGCAGAGGGAATAGCTGGGGTGGAAGACATAGATGAGGATCTTGGCAGCCAAGGGTGAGATGTAGTGGTTGAGTAGCCAATATTGCAGAGGTGAAGGAAAGCCAATCGAGTGAGCCTGGATGATATAGAAGGTGAAGTTGGATATTTTCTCACTCCTGAGGTTGGTGTCTAGTAACCCCTATTGGAATGTGTGTGGTTTCTGTATGCATGCTTGTCAAGTAATAATAATCCTTGCATTTGATATAGCGCTTTTCACGTCGGGAGGACGTCCCAAAGCGCTTCACAGAACACACTGTAAAGTGAATTGACTGTATATTTGTGGGCAAACGCGGCAGCCAATTGCGCACAGCAATGTCCCACAAACAGTCGTAGATTGAAAATGACCAATTTATTATTGTTTTTTTTTTTGTTTGTTTTTTTGGAGGGATTATTATTAGGCTCTGTGTGGAGTAAGGAAACTTGCCCAAGGTTTCGCCCTGCCTGGAATTGAACTCAGGTCTCTCGCTTGCAAAGCGAGTGCTCTAACCACTGAGCTACAGGACTCCACAAAGTAAGGACTAAAACAGGCATGGTTGTGAAATCCCCTATCCTTAAATGTTTAGCTAACACTATCTGGGCTCGCAAGTTAGTTGGGTGACTTGGAAATGATTGTACTCAGCACTGCTGACTGCCTTCAGAAAAGTAAAGGAAATGTTTCGCTCACAAAATACACAATCAAACCACTTTACAGTAAATCCTGTGAAGTGCTTTGATACGTCTCAGTGGGGTGATAAGGAGTTAAATCTATCAAGGGCAAGGATTATTATTATAAATGGGTGGGAATAAGCAGAGTGTCAGATGCACAATAAATTGGGATATTTGAAAGAAAGATAGATACTTGGGAAGCAATGATACAAGGGATAGCAGGAATTGGATTAAAAGATCTTTGATGATCTTAAACAAAAGTGGCAACACAGGATTGGCAGGCTGAATGGCCTCACCCTGTTCCTATGAAGGAGGAGGCGGCAGAATCAATGCTACAAAAGAATGTAGAGAAAAATCTCGCATAACCTTAGTCCCACTGGAAATCCAGTTCATATTGTATTCTGTTTTTGCAGACATTGCAATTCTTTTTAATGTGCTGGAGTGAAGGTAAGAGTACATGCTGTAGATTTCCTCAATGCACAGCTCTAAGAAGCAGTCAGAAACTATTCTCGTGAGGCTCGTATTACATTTTCAGGAACCTCACAGACCAGGAGTTTGTCTAGGGGGAAAATATCAGCAAAGCAAAAAGCATCCTTAATCACAATCTTTGATCCTTTGATATAAGCAGCTGCTACTGACTTTAAACCCTGCTTCCCTCATCTATCCCTACCTCCCACCCAATACTATGAAATGTCTTGTAGCGGATGATCCATCAAGAGTGACTGTAAAGATAATCGCATCGAGGGGTTCGGACAACATGCACGTGGCAAGAGCCAAGTTTGGCGGGTTTATTACATCTCCAGCCTGAAAAGTAAAATGATTTGCACTGCAATCACTCCCAACCACCCATTTGTATTTTTTTAACGTAAAAACCTCAAAGCGTAGCGTTATTTATAACATAATCACTGCAAGATTACAGAAATTCAATCTGCAGTGCATTACTGCGAAACAACAGTGCTTTATATTACAGAGGAAAGCACAGACACATTCCCCGAGGTGATTCCAAGGGGTTGATCTGATTTTTTGAGTCGAACCCTCTGGTTTATTACATCATCTGAACCCCTCGATCAGATTACTGCCTTATAATCACTCCCAGGTGCTCCTCATTTTCTATGCAACAATGAAACCCACTGGTAGGCATCTCAGTTGCTATATCTTTGGCAAACATTGCTATAATACTGATTATTACTCTGCCCGACTAAGGGGGTGTGCGATGTGCAATGTTGCACATTTGTTTTCGATGTGGTTCAGTTTGCTTTCATTCCTGTTTCAGCTTTTTTATTATCAATAATAAAAATTTATATTTAAAAATAATAAACTGTCTGTGCTCAGACAGGCATTGGAAGATCCCATGACTCTGTATGAAAAGAAAGGGAGTTTCTTCTGATGTCTTGACCACAATCCTTACGATTTATTGGTTGGTCATTTCACCTGGGGGGCGGGGGAGGCTGTTTTTTGGGACCTTATTAGTGCAACAGGCTAAAATACACAATCACTGCACCTTACAGGAAATCCTGTGAAGTGATATGAGACAGCCGCTTGACATAAAAGGCGCTATTTAATAATAATTTGGTCACTCAATCCACGACTGCTCGTGTGGATACTGCTGTGCGCAAATGGCTGCCGTGTTCCACCCACTAAAAAATATGCAGTCAATTCAATGCATGCAATAGGGGTTATTACAGTATATTCCTGTGAAGCGCTTTGAGACGTCTGAACGACGTGATAAGGCGCTATATTCAAACGCAAGGATTATTATATCAAACAATAATAATCCTTGTATTTGATATCACGCTTTTCACGTCGGGCGGATGTCTTGAAGTGTTCCAAAGAAATATACTGTAAAGCATATACTGTAAAGCATGTGTATATTTTGTGGGAAAGTGCAAGCGTTATTCTAATATCTTTAATTATTTATAAACGCATCGCTCAATGCAGTCAACGTTTTGAAGGGTAACGAATTAATAACTAGTCCTGTAGCTCAGTGGTTAGAGCACTCACTTTGCAAGCGAGACACCTGGGATCGATTCCCGTCAGGGCGAAACCTTGGGCAAGCTTCCTTACTCCACACACCTGATAATAATCCCTCCAGAAAAAAAAATAATAATTTGGTCACTCAATCCACGACTGTTTGTGTGGAACTCTGCCGTGCGCAATTGGCCGCCGCGTTTCGCCCACAAACACTTTACAGCATATTCTGTGAAGAGCTTCGGGACGTCGAGAAGACGTGAAAAGCGCTATATCAAATGCAAGGATTATTATTATTATTATTATTATACAGTCAGTTCACTTTACAGCATATTCTGTGAAGCGCTTCGGGACGTCGAGAAGACGTGAAAAGCGCTGTATCAACTGCAAGGATTATTATTATTATACAGTCAGTTTACAGTCCATTCTGTGAAGCGCTTCGGGACGTCGAGAAGACGTGAAAAGCGCTATATCAAATGCAAAGATTATTATTATTATATTATTGTTATTATAACTAATAACTAACTCACGTCTGATTAGGAATCGCGGGGACAGTGAACTGTGGCGAGGGGAGGGGAGGAGGGGAGGGGGGGAGCGAGGCCCTGGTGTAGTTTTCTTTCGGTGAAAGTGCTGGAGAGAGGGAGGGGAGGAGAGGAAGAGGAAAGAGAAAACTTTTTTTTTCTCTCTCTGTTTAACCCTCTCCATTGCTGCAGTTTGGGCGCCCGAGAGAAAGCCTAAACAGGAGGAGGAGGGGAGGAGGAGGAGGAGGGGGGAGGTCCGTGAGCTGAGGAAGGAGGAGGAGGAAGAGGGGAACACCGTGGGAGAGTGAGAGAGGGAAGGAAGCAAAAAGGAAAATGGACTTGAGCGTCAGGAAGCAACCGGCGGCCTCCGCTCCCTGACTCCCCGACTCCCCGACACCGAGCGGGTGGGAAGCCTTTGCCTCGGCGCCGGGAGCTGACAGACCGCGTCCAGGACACCCGGTGAAGCCGCTCTCTCTCTCTCTCTCTCTCATTTTGTCCTCATTTTCCCCTCTCTCTCTCTCTCTCTCTTCCTCATCCTGATCACGTCTCTCTCTCTCTCTCTCTCTGGGAACAAGAGGAGACCGCGCCTTTGGGTATAGGAGACAGAGAGAGAGGGAGAGAGGAGGGAGGAGAGAGGGGGAGAGGAGGGAGGGAGGAGAGAGGGAGAGGAGGGTCTCTGGCTTTAAAACACCTGCTTTTGATGTAGGGAAGAGAAGGACATAGACAGAAAGAGAGAGAGAAAAAGAGGGAAACCAATAAGGACGAGAATCAGAAGAGAAACGATCCTGAGATCTCTCTCTCTCCCTCTCTCTCTCTCTCCCTCTCCCCAACACTGTTTTATTTACCGAAAAAAAACTTTTATTTTTTGTTTTTTTTCTTAAAAAAAACGAATCCAGATTCCCAGGGACTCGACTTCAGGGCTCTCGTTGAGAGAGAATCCAAAACGCTTTGACTGTGAGGGGAGCGAGTGTGGGAGTGGGAGAAGGAAGTGGAGATAACTTTATGTGTGTGAGAGAGAGAGAGAAAGTTAGACTGTATTTTGAATGAAACGTAATTCAAACAAGATTTGAAACTTTTTTTTTTGGGGGGGGGTTAGGGTTAGGGTGTCTCCTCCTCCCTTCTCCACACACACACACACACACAGTCGTGTTATTTTTTAAAAAAAAGGTGTGTGGGGGTGTGTGGAGGGAGTGTGTGGGGGTGTGTGTGGGGGTGTGAGGGGTAGGTGGTGTGTGGGTGTGGGGGTGTGTGTGTAGGGGGGTGGGGGTGTGTGTGGGTGTGGGGTGTGTGTGTAGGGGGGTGGGGGGTGTGGGGGTGTGGGTGTGTGTGTAGGGGGGGTGGGGGTGTGTGTGTGTGTGGGGGTGTGTAGGGAGTGTGTAGGGAGTGTGTGTAGGGGGTGTGTGTGGGTGTGGGGGGGTAGGTGGTGTGTGTGTAGGGTGTGTGTGTGTGTGTAGGGGGGTGGGGGGGGGGTGTGTGTAGGGGGTGTGGGGGGAGACTTAGTGGTGGAGGAACCAACTGTTGTGTTGATGTGGTGGTAACTTTCTGCCTGGAGAGAGGGGGAGATCAGTCAGAAGGGGATTCAATTCCCCCTCTTGTGTCGGGTGTTTTTCTTTTGTTTTTAATATTATATACAGGGAGTGAGGGAGGAGGGAGAGAGAGAGGGAGAGGAGGGTACACAGCTGCTGACTGACTGCCTGTCAGCCCCCAGGACAGGACAGGACAGGACAGGTGCGCGGGGGCAGCGCGCGGAGCCTCACCTGAGCCGCTCACCTGAGGGGCGACATGAAGGTGACGGTGCAGTTCGGCCGCACCGGCATCGTGGTGCCCTGCGGGGACGGCACCCTCCGGGTCCAGCAGCTCATCCAGCAATCCGTGCAGCGGTACTGCAGGAACACCGCCAAGGTAAGCCCCTCACTCACTCCCCCCTCCCCTCCCTCACTCCCCTCACCCCTCCCTCACTCCCCCCAACCCTCCCTCACTCCCCCCCACCCCTCCCTCACTCCCCCCCCCCCACCCCCCCCACTCCCCTCACTCCCTCCCTCCCTCACTCCCTCCCCCCCCCCCCCCCCCCCCTCCCCACCCCTCCCTCACTCCCCCCCCCACCCCCCACTCCCCCTCACTCCCCCCTCCCCTCACTCACTCCACCCCCCCCCCACTCCCCCCCCCCCCCCCCCCCACTCCCCCCCCCCCTCACTCCCCCCCTCCCCCCCCCTCACTCCCCCCCCACCCCCCACTCCCCCCCCCCCCCTCCCCCCCACTCACTCCCCCCCCCCTCACTCCCCCTCCCCCACCCCTCACCCTCCCCACCCCTCACCCACTCCCCCCCCCCTCACTTCCCCTCCCCCCACTCCCCCCTCACTCCCCCTCCCCCACTCCCCCCCTCACTCCCCCTCTCCCCCCCCCACTCGCTGACCTTCTGGCTCTGCAACGCTGATGGAACTAAAACCCGAGTGAAGCCGGTAACCCGCGCAACGCTGATGCCCAACATGGCGGTTGTGCAGCGCCAAGTGCTCTCTGTCACACGTCCAGCAAATGATGTCGTGAGGAGAGTGGGGGATAGAGAGAGAGAGAGAGAGAGAGAGAAAGGGGCAAAGCCACCGACCATAATATTGAAATGTTTGCCAGAGTTAAGCATCGTGAAAGGGTTTTGTTTTCTCGATTGGGTTGTGTGAGGAATAGTGTTTGCACTTGTAAAGCAGTAGTTAGTCCCGGTCCTAAGAGACTTGGGTGATGCAGGAGTCTCAAAGTGTAGTGTACAAACAGTGCTCTAACATCTCTGCAATGTGTTTATAACACTTGTGGAGTCCTGTAGCTCAGTGGTTAGAGCACTCGCTTTGCAACGAGAGACCTGAGTTCAATTCCAGACAGAGGGCGAAACCTTGGGCAAGTTTCCTTACTCCACACACAGCCCAAATAATAGTCCCTCCAAAACCCCAAAACAATAATAAATTGGTCATTTTCAATCCACGACTGTTTGTGGGACATTGCTGTGCGCACTTGGCTGCCGCGTTCGCCCACAAATATACAGTCAATTCACTTTACAGTGTGTTCTGTGAAGCGCTTTGGGACGTCCTCCCGACGTGAAAAGCGCTATATCAAATGCAAGAATTATCTTGGATTATTATTGTTGGTGTGCCTGTGTGTTGGGGGGGGGGGGGGGTTGCCACCTGTCCAGCTTTTGGGGTCTCAACTCTGTTGCCTGACTGGAAGTGTTCAAGACAAATGAAACAGGATACTGAATGTTTCTGTTTCCATGTGTGACATGACAACAGTTTCTCGAAGGTTCGTGCCTCGGAACGCTTCGCACAGACTGGGTCAGATGCCCGGAGAGGATGGAAAGGGAGAGGTGACTCAAAGAGAGTGTGGTCAAAGAGATTTTTTGTTTAGGCTGGACTTAAAGATGGAGCGGGGCGAGGTGGAGAGTTAAGGACAGGGAATGGCCAGAGGTTTAGGAGATTATTGCAGAGAAATTGTTAAAAGAGGTTTCGAATTCCTTTGCATTCTTTGTTGAGCTATTGCCAGATACTTTCAACACAATTCCACCCCTATCCTATCTTTCCCATCCCCTGTTCGTTTTTTTTGGTAAAAGATGGCAACCATTGTTTTCCTAGAATAAATAAGACCTATCAAATACCACAAATTTTTATCTAAAGTTTAATGTACTTTCCCTTGACATTCCCCCCAAAAACCTTGACGTTCCAAAAAGAAACTCCATAAACTTGAGACTTGACCTCACAGTTTTGGCTGACATGCCAGTGAATTGCTGGAGGCACCATCTCAAAATGAGACATGGTCCCTTCTCCTTTCAAATTATGCCTTTGGATCTTTATCATCCACCTAAGCAGGCAGATGGACCTCAGTTTAATAACTTATCCAGAGAATGTTTGAGTTGTATGAATCCACTTTCCTCTTACTAAATTGTAGTTCTATGAGTACTCAGCACCCTGGGCAGGAGACAGTTATTGGGATCAGTTTTGATAGTAAGTGTTGGCAAACAAATTTGTCCCCATCCACTGACACAGCAGAGACACTCCCCAGTGATGAGTTTATTTTATTTTCTCCCACCCAGCTCAGAGGCGCTAATGTCAATTTCAACACTCCCAACAGCTAATCTGGGTGTGTGAGCTTCTAAACATTAATTGGATATACTTATTCTCTTTCAACTGTTGCACCTTATCCAAATTTGCCGATTGTTATCACTTTTTCACACTCACTGGAAATGAAAAGTTATGCCCTAAATGTGTAAACTGTTCTGATTTTCCTCTTTCTCTAAACTCCCAGATTACTCATAGAGAGCCATCACAAGTTGTATACTCTCTGTTTTTCCCCCTAAAGAAATGGTTGGGCAGACCACAGGCCTATCACTCCCAGTGAGATTCAAGATTGGATCTTTACGGAATAAATGTAGAAGTGGATTGAGTTGCTGCTTTTAATTACGTAGGAGACCTGGTGGAAAATAACTGGAAATGTGTTCAGCCAAGCAGAGAGTGGTGTTTTCTTTGAGTCAGTGTGATGAACATCTCAGTGGGCCAGATGTACAGCCGGATTATCTGACAGTTGATGAACCCACTGAGGTCCTGTTCAGGTGGATTGATGAACAGAGCTGTTTAAATACTAAAGAAAATCCGTTCATCTCTGCATAATTTGCGCTCTATATCAATGGCTTCCTGAACTGATTAGGAGAGATTGAACTAAGGTATGGCCCAATGTTTTTTTTAATTCACTATTATAACATACAGAGTAACTGATTGCTGAGAATGTGTTATGAAGCTGAAGCATACAGGTTTCACGATTCGCTTCTCAGTGGGATTATAATAACCAGTTGTAGGTCAACTTTGGTTACACCTCTCCCTCCACTCCCTCCTCGAGCCCCTGCAGTCTGGTTTTTGCTCTGCCCACACCACAGAGACAGCGCTTGTTAAAGTCACAAACGATGTCCTTTCTATCTGTGACCAGGGCTACCTCTGCCTCCCCGTCCTCCTGGATCCTGCCACGTTCGACACAGTCGACCACGCCATCCTCCTCCACCGCTTCTCCTCCTTCATCCACCTTAGTTGGACCGAACTCGTATGGTTCGAATCTGACTTAACCAACAGCCTTTACGTCATCTAGGCAAATATTTTTTCCTCCCGCCCTTGCCAGATCATCTGTGGGGTACGCAAGTTCTTCACCCTTGGCCCTCTTCTTTTCCTCATCTATATGCTCCCTTTTGGCAATGTCATCCGCAGACATGGGGTAAACTTGGACATGTATATGGATGACACACAAATCCTCTTTGCCTCTTCCAGTATCGACTCCAGATCCACTAATGTTCTACTAAATTGCCTGGCAGACGTTAGGCCTGGATGAGTGCAAGCATCCTGCAGTTGAATGTGGACAAGATGGAAGCCATACTTCTTGGCCCCTGTCAATGTCTTCACTCCTGCGGATCTCAACTCCTCAACCTCCCTGGGCTCTCCCTCAGACTCACCGAACTAGTGCACAATGTAGGCATCCGGTTCAAACCCCAGCTCTCCTCCTTCCTCACATCCGGTCCCTGACCAGGACGGTCTTCCTCCACCTTTGCCACATTGCCATTTACCTTCCCCAAATGCAGCCCAAACCCTGGTACATGTGTTTGTCACCTCCCGCCTGGATTACTCAAACCCACCCATCGCTGGTCTCCCCAGCTCCACTATTCAAAAAATACAGCTCATTCAGCATTCTGCTCCCAGGACCAAATTCCTTACCCAGATCTCATCAGTTCTGGCCAGGCCCCACTGGCTCTCCATCACCGAACGGATCGGCTACAAGATTCTCACACTTGTGTTCAAATCCCTTCACTCACTGGCATCTACCTACCTCTCCGACTCTTCATTCCCCAATCCACCACCCAGCACCTCTGCTTGACTGACACCAGCCTCCTCCTTGTCACTTGCACTCTCCGCTCCACCACTGGAAGTCACGCATTCAGCCAGTAGGCCCCGAAATTCTTGAACACTCTCTCAATCCCGCTGCCTTGACTCCTCCCTTCCCTTTTTCAAGTCCCACCTGAAAACCTTCCTTTTCGACCGTGCATATGGTCAACTCACTCCCCCTGCCGCCCCCCCCCACCTGGGCTCGGAGTCAGGTTCCACCGCTGTTAAGCGCTCTGAGACACTACCCTGTGTGGGGGACCTATATAAGTTGTTGTTGAGAGTTTATCTTCAAATTAATTTAATTGACCTGGTGCAGCACAGGACCATATAAATTGAATGTTGTAGATTTCCATCATGTTATGGGCAAAGTTAGCTTAGCAGCACTTCAGATAGTACAATTCACCTTGATAGTCCTTGGGTAGAGAGGGAAAATCAGTCGGGGGTTGTTCATGAAATCTCTGCTGGAAGGTGCATGTGGACAACAACGACAACTTGTATTTATAAATATATGTAGTGCCCTTCAGCCAGGTATCCTCTCGGAGCGCTGAATGTCAGGTGATGACAGGATGAAACTTAGTTCTGATACCCCTGTGGATGTCTCACAACTGTACTCTCCAACTGCACTCAAATGGTATTTATTTTCCAAATTAGCGTCAACAAGAAGCCGGAGGGCAATGAAGGCCTATAAAATTTATTCCGTAAAGATCCCAAAACACAAACCTTTTCTTTCCTTTATTTATACAACTACTGTAGAAGGAAAGATAACGGAGGGCACTGTCTGAAGAAGGAGGGGGGGGGACACAATTAGCAGTGAAATGCTTTTGATTGATATGCAGAGGTTTGCATTTGTCGTGTGAGCTAATAAAGGAATGTGTGAGTGAAGTGGGAATAGAATAACATATTTTCTGGTGATGCTTGTGACTTTGGATCAATGTGACGACAGTATGAATTCCTTTTCATAAAGCTGTTTGATGTCACTATTGTTTTGTTTGGGTAGTTTAATCA